GGGTCCTCTATATTGATGTCTCCTCAACAGCTAACCGAGCAGGTGCAGGGATAGTCCTAGCTGATCCAGAAAATCGGTTATTCTGTCACTCGGTGAAGTTCCTCTTCCCGGCAACAAACAATGAAGCCATATGAAGCGCTGCTATCCGGACTGAATTTGGCAGAATCCATGAACGTGACTCACCTCAAAGTCTTCTCAGACTCCCGACTCCTTGTCAATCAAATCAATGGTTCGTATGAAGTCAAAGAACCTCGGTTAACACCCTATCTCTCCTTGGCCAAACGAAAATTGTCAAAATTCTCCGCCGACCTCGAGCATATTCCCCGAACTCTTAATGTTCAAGCAGATGCCTTATCTCGACTTGCGTCCAGTACCGGGATGGAGAGCGCGGAGTACGTCCAAATCGGCCAGCAAGAACAACCGTCAACTGCCCTTTCCGAGGTCACGGCCATCAATCCGGTAACATCACAAAAATCACCAAGTTGGATGGATCCTATTATCCACTACCTAGAAACTGGGGCCTTACCTTCAGACCCAAAAGAAGCTCGAGCACTTCGGATTCGGGCAGCTCGGTACACATTAGACAACGGAACTTTGTTCAAAAGGGGATACTCCGTTCCACTTTTGAAATGCGTAAGTGAAACTGATTCACGGTACATCCTTGAAGAAGTCCACGAAGGGATTTGCGGAAGTCACCCCGGTGCACAAGCATTATCTTATAAAATCCTGCGACAGGGTTACTACTGGCCGACCCCTAATTCTAACCGACGCCACCTCTTCGTCTGATAAGACACCTACTATTACACGTGGCAACCTATTAAAGCCGACTGTTATCTCATTTAAGACCATTACGGCGCGACCGTTCAGTCTAAGCAATAAATCGTTGACCGTTACGACTGTTCACCTTTCTTCTGTCACGACTGCCTGAAAATTATTTGAAATTCACCAAGTGTCTTCACCTCGGAATACAGTCTACACTTCGGACAAATGACTCACCTCGGTTACGTCGGTCAGAAGACCGAAGATGACCCTCCGAAGACAATAGACCACACCCTGCCGCCGACTTCTTACCGATTCAGAGTCTCTAAATATCTGACATGGCAACATCGATGACCATCACTCCGTATGCCCACC